TCCCTCCTTCCATCGCTCCTTCCATCCCTCCCTCCATCCCTTCCTCACTCCCCACCCCCCTCCCTGCCTCCCTCCCTGCCTCCCTTTCTTCCTCTCCCTCTCTACCTACCTCCCTTCACCCATCCCTCTGACGTTCCTGTTTCTTAGCCCTGCTTGGATCACGTAACATGTGTATGGCAATGTTTGGATGGCTTACCTTCTGTCTGATCAGCAAAAGCAAAGAGGCAACAGAAGCATCTGGCAAGATCTCAAAGACAAAGGAGCACATTCATGAACTGCAATCGTTGCTGGAGCAAAGTGCATTGCAGGCAGAAGAGAGACTAGTCACTGAGAGGCTGGCCAGGCAGGCCGAGTTTGTTGCGTTCAAGGAGGATGTCGACAGGTTGGCTTCCATGAAGGTGCTGGCTGACCAGGAGTCTGAAAATCTGCGACTGAAAACGGAAATGATGGAGAGAGAGAACGAAGAGCTGAGAATGGCAAAGAGGAAAACAGATGCTGCCCTCGCAGTTACCGAGTTCAAAGTGCAGACCCTTCAAGAAGAGGTGAGGTTCATTTCCATCGACAAGTGCGGAGAAGTGAGCCCATTGCTGCAGACGTTTTCAACTTTTCATCCATGACGATTCCTCATTAGATTCTTTTATGTTTCTGCCGCGGAGCTGTGGACTTTTCTCAGGATGTCTGCCGACACTTTTTCCAGGAAATTCCAGCTTTGTAATGTCTTATGAGAAGTTATGACTCTTATCATTTAGTCTGCGGAGGTTCCTACGAGGGTTCAAGAATCAAAATACAATAAGCTTTGAGAAAGGCTGCTGATTTATCGCTGTTTGTCTAACTGGATAAAGTTGCGATAAACTAAAACTCGATAAAAACTTATTAAAAAGCATGGTCCGCTTAAAATTGGAACGATGCAGAGACGATTAGCATCGACCCTGCGCAAGGCTGACACACATAAATTGAGAAATGGTTGTGTTTTTTTTTGTTTTTTTTAAAGGGGGAAGAAGGAGGGGGTAAAATAATGAATAAAATAAAATAAATACAATCAGGTTTGATGTGACCTGTTGCAGTTCCCCCATCTCTCTGCCCCCAAGCCCTGTGATGCTTTAAAAGATGGACCACAGTAGAGGAATGCGCCCTCGGATAAAAGATTTTGATTATTGTTACTGTTATGACCTTCCTAAGTACCTAGACTCTTGAGTTCGTCATCCCTCGACTCTTTTCTTCATCCCCATAGTGCTTACCCCAACCAGTCTCTCCGAGCCTCTTTCTCTCGACCCAGATTGCTGCTGTTGTCTGCTTCTGCCCAAGAAAGCGCAAACCAACACAGGCACAATATGTTTTCCTTTTGCCTCAAATTGCTTGGCACAGCCAGCCATTTTAGTCCGGTAGGTCGAACCCCTGTTAATGCAGTGCGTTAGACCGCCAGTTCACCTGAAGCAGAGTACTGCTTTTCCCTGTTTACGAAGTACGAGCATTCCGATTTGGGACTGCGCCGATAGTGAAAGTGGCAGGCCACTTCGAAGAGGTGCAGTTGCAGGCTCGCAAGTCATGGAAGGTAACTTCTGGCGGTTTAATCTGCGAAATCCTCTTATGGATCCATAGTGCCTTTCATCTGTTTTCCTTGAACAACCACCTCTTTTCCTTTTCTTTTCTTTTTTTTTTCTTTTTTTTTCACCTGGTCCCCCTACTAGGAGGCGTGATGCATGCATCTCCTCCTACCGGTAGTGACCAGCCACGTCTTTCCCTCTTCTGCTTTCAGACCCTGAATCTCAAACAAACAGAGGTTGTCTGAGAACTTCCTCTCCACTGGTAGGCCCTCTTATCCTCTTGGGAAACCCCTCCCTCCAGCACTTAGCAAGGAAGCATCAGCTCTCTAGTACTCTCTACCTTTACCCTGTTCTCCTGCTGTCTCAATCTTTCTTCATCCTTCTTTCTCCAAGTTTTCAGAAGCCATACTTTGCCATTAACCAAAACATGGTGTCAATGGAGGGAAAAAAAAGGCTCTCCCCCATTGACACCCTGAAGAATACGGGACACTTGTTTTTTGGTTAATGGCAAAGGGGTTTCCCAAGAGGATATATAAGAGGGCCTACCACTTTCAGAAGCCCCTTTGCAATTAACCAAAACAAGTGTGCGGTATTCTTCAGGGTGTCAATGGGGGAGAGTTTTTTTTTTGTTTCCCTTCCACAAACCTGGTCCGTATGATCCGGGCTCCATGTCCAGTCTGGGGAGCAGCAGTCCGGTTCCTATCCACCGGCAAGCTTGATAATAATTGAATATCACAACACGACTACGCTTCCTTCTGTTCAATCCGAAGGATCCCTGAACGGCAATTGATTGCTCCCTGTCGGGGAGGGTTGACCACCAGATAGCCTTTTTCTTCTTGAGTTCCTCCAACTGTCTTCTCCCGAATAGAACGTACGGACATTATCGCTGTATCAACACTGAAAGTTACCCCAAACGCAGGCATTATGACCGTAATGTTCTATTAGGGGAAAGAAGGTAATCTCTGCTCAGCTGGGACTGTCATGTCCACATGATTAGCAAGAGCATCTGAAGGTCCAGGCTGCACTCGGCTGCGTAGTGGCAACCAAGTAGATTCTTCCCTTCTCCAGTCATCCCTGTGCAGTTTAGCCTTGACGCGTCGTTGATCCCCTCTCGGACTGGCCTTGGCCATTACTGCAGTGGGTAACCCATGCCACTGTTGTAACTGTTTCCATCTTAGTTCATTGTCATGCACATTTCCTAAGCGTCGCCCTTTTCTTTGCAACAATTGCCGCGATCTTGCCTTTTAACAGCCACTCTTTTTAGAGGACTTCCTCTTGACTCTGAATTTGTCTGGTTTGTCCTTTGCTGGCTGCTTGATCGCATTCCATCTGCACCGGATCTCTGCCTCCACCAGAACAATCAGTTGCGACAAGGCTAGTTCCTTTTTCATTTGTAGTCTATCGATAGTCTGAGCACACCTCCTCTTCCAGATAGTCTGTAGGGTGGGTTTCCTAAGCAGGAGGGACCACACTTTCTTCGCACCTTCTGAGGGACAAATGGAGTTCAATTGGTGGAAGAATAGAGATCGGGGTAGGCAAGGGGGAGGGGGAGGGGGAGGGGGAGGTGAAGGGGGAGGCCCACAACCTTTCGACCTTTTTTGTCCCAGAATCATGTCGCGTCAGGTTAGGACAGCAGGAAATGCAGTATGTCTTTTGGCTGAGTTGTCTTAAACACATGATGTAGATTTCAGAACTGTTGGCGTCAACCATTTCACGTTTTTCTTGTAGCCATTGATGAATTATGGAGGGCTGCATTCACAATTAGCCATTGTAAGCAGCGGGTTTTCGTTTGTCTCTTGTACTTGGTCCAGGGGATCTCAATCTTGACTTCTGGCATTAGATTCACGATTCTTATCATTCTTTTCTGTTATCTAGTATTTACTCATTTCAGGTTTACGGTTCTTGGTTTTCAGGCCTAGTTTTTGCCCCAGTTTGACGTTAAAATCTGATATGGTTAGGGTCCTCCGAGAATATTTCTCATACCAGCACCATTCACCCAGATCGAGTTCGAGATCTTCAATGCTGTGGTGGCCGCAGATCGTCCGTGGTTTATTGGTCGTATTTTGCTATTTTCCTCGCCGGAAAGGTGATTGTTTCGTATTCTACGTTCAGGTTCAGAATCTCCCCTTCCTGATTGCGGCAGTTAGTGATCCGAAAGTATGGACATGAACTCGGCTCTGAAACAGACTGTGGTAATCCACTTTTCGAAACGGTACGCCTGTGCTAGGGGGTGACAGCCTTTGAGTGAGCTCCTCAGTTCTTGTTCCATTGCCCATCTGTTGTGCTCATTAGACCATTGATGTTGGGTCTTCCAAGTCCCTTGCTTGACCCAAGGTAGCCAGTACTAGCCACCTGTGGACCAAAGAAAACGGTGAGCAGAGATTGCCCACTTCATTTCTGATCGAGGGATAGCAAAAGTGCTGTTGTCGAAGCGCTTTTATTTTTTTTGCCCCTACGACAAAATATTATGGGCCTGCATCCATATGCATTCTGGGAAGTGTCAATCCAGTTATGTTTCCGCCGGCAAGTCAACTACATTACAACCAGGATTATACCCCCTAATTCATCCTTCCGTTGAGGTGGACGGATCCATGAACGGCATTGATTACTCCAAGGAGGATTGACTGTCACATAGCCTAGCCTCTTCCTTCTCTGATCCTTCTCCATTACCGAGGACAGTATACTCTCCGATAGACATGAGATCGGAGAAGTTATGAAGGTGAAGGAGCAAGATGTCGCGTCCGAGAGCAGTTCAGCGTCATCCCATTTCGTCCACCTCAGGCTGCACGTGGGTTAGTGGACGATGCTCGTCTGTTCCTATTGACCATGCCTATTTTAACAATCCATTCTTTGTCCATACCCCAGGAAGTACCTTCCATGATTGCCTGGTCCGGGGCGGGAGTTCATTTCCTTATACTGTCCAGTGCCATTCTTGATCAAGGGAAGTAGTCCTTGGACGGTTGGAGTAGCGAGCAATTTCGTTACCCAGTTCGTGCGAAGGGCGATTACTTCTTGTTTTGAGTCAAGTAGACCAAGGCCCCCTTCCTGAGGGGTTTCCTGATAGTGTACAGGCATGCCACTTTTGGGATACATGTTTGCCTAATAGGGTTTCCAGTCGATGCTAGTCTTTTAATTCTTTCAGCGCTTCATGTCGCGGGGACCAGATTGAAGGCAGGTCCCACAGTGTGGAGAAGATGTGTTTATGATCAGCACTTTTCCTTGGAGGGAGGCTTGGGCTTTCCGGCATGGCGCCAGACGGGTTATGGCGTTCGCTATTAGATTTTGTCCCGTACCCGCCAAGTCCCATCCTAGTTAACCATGAGTCCATGATGCCCAGAGATCAGAGTGGGTCTCACAGACTTTCAATCATGATATTTCTCGCATCAGCCCGGATCTTAGCGAAGGAAAAAAATTGGACATTGATTCGTTCAGATTGACATCAGTGATTCTAGCTAGCCCTGATTTGCCGCCCTCGCGACTACTCGTTGTTGCCATTCTGCTAGCTCTTTCTTGCTGATTGTCAGATGTTGTGGTAGACGTTTCTTGTCAGATCTGAAGCTACATGAGCAGCTGCAATCTGTATGGCCAGTTTCAGCGCCTCTTTTCCGGCTTGCCTTTCCATGTGCAAGGAACCATCCGTGAGGAACTCAATTCATGGCCAACACGAACTCACTGATCAGGATGCGTATTTAGGCCAAACCGAGAGCATAATTAAACAGGATAAAATCACATTTGCACAAGAAAACACGCAACGCTGAAGTCTCTTGATTATGAAAAAGGCCCTCTTCTCGCCTCCATCTAATCAATACAATGACACAGTGGCAGTTTCCAGCTTAGGTATGACTGCCTACCGTCTTCATCTGAATAGAACGCCCGGTCATTGTAGATGCATTTGGCCCAACTTTCAGTCCAGATGCAGCGATAATGACCGGGCGTTCTATTCGGGTGAAGACTGTAGTCTTAGCCTATCTAACTCATCCACCATGCCGTCAAACCCT